CCCAGAACCTGCTCCCCTCTCACTCTAACGCCTCCTGCGGGTGCCACCGTTGGATGAATCCAGGTGGGACAGGAGAGGGAAGCCCTTGAGATAGTAGTATACGCCTGTGTGCGTTCAGGGTGGAGAGCAGGGTGAAGCAGGCAGGGTGCCGCATGGCCTGAGGGACAAGTGGAGGAGATTCCGCACAGACAGCCACAGCACTAAACAAAAAGTAGTTTATGAATGACTGCATTTAAAAAATTACAGATAAAGACTATAACCACGTGAGAAATTATGGGATGATTTACTCCAAGAAGTAAACAGTGGGTTCATTCAGAGCTCCCTAACTATGGTGCTGTTGGCAACTTGGTGAAGCAGTTCCTCATTGTTGGAGACTGTCCCAGGTACTTCAGGATATTTAGCACACCTGGCCCCCAGGGCACTAAACACCAGTAGAAACTCCAAGCATTATAAGAGCTATTAAAAAACAAACAGCCCCTACTGGTGTGGCTCAGTGGATTGGGCGCCAGCCTGCAAACCAAAGGGACACCAGTTGGATTCCCTTTGCCTGGGTTGCAGTTTAGGTCCCCAGTAGGGGGCGCTCCAGTGGCAACCACACACTGATGTTTCTCCCCTTCCTCTCTATAAATTAAATCTTAAAAAGTGGGGGTCGGGGGGGGGGGAATGAACTCTGCTGTTAAAAAAAAAAAAAAAAAAAAAACCCCAAAACCACCCACTCCCAGACATAGGGTTGTACCAGGTCTGTTAGGGACCACTGTGAAGGAGAGTTTTATATTTTTTTTTTCCTTACCCGCATTTTTCTAATTTTTCTACAAAGACTAGGCATTGTTTTTGTGAAATGGAAACTATATTCCCTATTTCTTTTTTAAAAAAGAACTCAACAGGATAGACTAATTTAGACTCCAGCTCTCAGCAAACTGTGTTTGTCCTTCCCCAACTAAGTTTGTTCACGACGGTAAGTAAATGAAAGGTGACCTAACATTATTACATGGATGCTATAATTCATTTTCAAGTCACCAATAGCAGGAAGGGTGCAACTAACTCAGTTTCTGACAAATCCCTTTTATTCTTCAGGTACTCATGACTGCTCTGAGATCACAGTGTCCTACAAACCACAGGTCAACTTTTCTCATGCTTTTAGTTTGTTATAAAATTTTAAAAAGGAAACAACTACAATTTGGTTTCAATACCATGTTTTATTGGCAACAACCTGGAGTGTGTTAGGTTAGCTACTACCACTCACCCCTGTGAGAAAGCCAGGGCAAGGGATTTTGACAACATATTTGAGGAAACATTTTGTTCTCCATTATTTCATTTCCCCTGGGTTCAAGCAGGAAGTCAGGTTCTTAGTAATTCTATGTCTCAGTATTCTGGGTTTGTTTTTTTTTTTTAAGGCAGAAAAGTAACATTCTTCTGGAGGTGGGTCTATGTTAATCTCAGGGCTGAGACAGCAATAGTTTGAAACCTGCCCCTCCTTCTCCCTCCCAGATAAAGATTCAGGGGCACTGTGCTTCAGTACATCCAGGGAATCATCCATTGTAAGCTGCATCCTGATTCGGATATTAAAATATGAACAAAAAGTATCTTAGAATCAATTAAACAGTGGATCATTTAAGGTGATCCTTAACATTTTAAATTTTGAATTCTAAATTTTTAAAAAAGTGTTTTTAGTTTAATTGCCTCACACTACCGGTGACAGTTTAAACCAGTACCGCTTTAGAGAAAAGTAATTTCAGAATATGTAACAAAACACTTAGATTTGTGTACCTTTGCCACAACAATTCTACTGTAAGGAACTTTCTGGACAAATGCGGAAAGAGGGACAAACAAGGAAGATTGCTACAGCATTGGTTATACTGGTAAAACCTGGAAACATGCTAGTTTTAAAATGGAAGACTGAGGAAATCAAAACAGTACTTCCTGATGGAAAAAACTGTAATAATGCGAGAGATCCCAGGCCCGGAAAAAATGCTCATTGTATGGGAAGTGAACATAGCAGGTCTTTAATCCATGAAAAAAATCATAAGGGAATAGATGCATTAAAAAAAAGTATAAAAGGAGTTTCAGAAAAAACTGAGAAAATGCAAAGATAAAAATCAAAATTCTAAAAATCTCCTTAAAAATATGTAAGTTTTTCTGATTGAGAGAACATACGAGGTACCCAGTATAATGGAAGACAATGAACTCATATGAAGGCACATGTGGCTCAAATAAACTCATACATTTTTTTTAAAAGAACTGAGATAAATATTTATTATTATTTTTTATCCTCACTCAGGGACATTTTTTTCATTGCTTTTTAGGAAAAGAGGAAGGGAGAAAGAGAAACATTGGTGTGAAAGAGAAGCATTGATTGGTTGCCACCTGCAAGCGCTCAGACTAGGGATTGAACCCACAACCTAGGTATGTGTTGTGACCAGGAATTGAACGTGCAACCTTGCTACAGGATGATGCTCCAACCAACTGAGCCACATCGGCCAGGGCTGAAATAAATATTTAAAAAAAAAAAAAAAAAACCAAACAGAACAACTACAAAACAACAGAGGAACACTTAAAAAATGCTTAAGAAAAACAATTTCCAATCTAACATTCTCTACCCAAATTATTAATTATGTGTAACCGTCAAATTAAGACATTTTTGAAAGATGCAAAGCTCAATATACCTGTGCATCCTTTCTTAGGAAACTATTAGAGGCTGTGTGTCCAGAGGAAGGCAAGGCTGGGAGGACACTGCTCATGGGAAGCAGGGGATCCAACCCAGGAGAGAGAGAGGATCAGTCTCCAGGGTGATGGCGCAGGACGCCTCCGGCCATCAGCTGTGCCCAGGGGAGCTGGCCTGGTTGGGGAGCAGGTCGGAGGCTCCTATGGAGGGTTGGTCGTGAGAACAACTCCATAGAATACCTCTCTGTTGTCTCAATATCTCTCAATTTTCCTAAGAGGAGATTTAGGCAACTAAGGTTGTCAATAAGTGACTAGACATGTAGAGAACTAAAAAATGGAAAAAAAGAATTACTAATCCCAGGGAAAACAAGAAACTGGGCAGGAATGGAAAAGTGCCCATAGCCTACTCAGTGACTCCCTGTCCTAAGGTCAGCACCTGTTATTGATCTAACCCAAAACAGAGTGGGAGACAGGAGAGTGGATGTATAATGGGAGTGGTGAAGAGGTGGTCCAAGACAGGTACAACCTCATCTTTCAGAGTGAGTGGCTAATGGATAACACCTACATTTGGAAAAAATACCTATCACATTATTTACAGCTGTAAGAGATTTCAGTGTGAGTGCCTCCAGGTATAGAGATGGTGGGGGGAACATTTTTGCCTACAGGAGTATTTGGCTCTGTAAATGTGTGCGTATACAGCTCTGTCAAAAATAAGAACTCAATTATAGTAGTAATAAGGGTAATTTTTCTTACATGTTTTTCTACCTTTTTCAAAAGACGTATTGACATCTAAAAGGATGCATGCCAATATATCAAGAGTGGTTATTTTTAGTAATGGGATTGTGGGCCATTTACATTTTTTCCCTCATTTTTCTATTTTCTGAAAAAGTGTGGAACCTAGAACATACTGATTGTAAATCAGAAAACAGAAGGCATTTTACTTTATGCCTGGTAGAAATCCACCCCAGGATAGAAGCCCCATCTCTGTCATTGTAGTTTCTGTTTGCTCGACAGAGCAGGGGAACCTGCCAACTCCTTCATTCACACAGCAAATATTTGCTGAATTCCTATAAGCCAGGCCCTGCAAGGTGATTCCAATCCCTTAGCCTTTTATTGGGTCTTCTGAAGTCCTTCAATGCCAGCTGAGGGAAGGAACTGGGGGATGGGCTGAACCAACACTTCTCAAACTGGAAGTGCCCTGGAACTACCTGCGATTGATTCAGTCGGTCTGGGGTGGGGCCTGAGACAATGGAGGAGCAAGGAAGCTCTGTGATGTACGCAGGCTTTGTTGGAGCCTTCTCACAGTCTGCAGTAACTTCTGCACCCTCAGGGCTCCCATTCTCTATCTCCACATAGGCTAGATTTTCACCCCACAAATGTTTAAAGGAAAGTATGTGCTATACAGAGGCTCCGGCCAAGGTTAGACAGCTGGATGGATGCCCATTAGCAGTTGAGAGCAGGCGCGGATGGCTGTCAGGCCGGGGTCTGAATTCCTTCCCCTCTCTATGGCTCAGTTTCTTCGCATGTAAAATGGGATGATAACTGAAGCCACTTTCGCAGGCTAGGGTTGTTGTGTGGATCACACGAGGGCAGAAAATACCTAAGAGCTTGAGGAGGCCCTGGCACAGGCTGAAGACTCTAAACAGAGGCCACCACTAGCAGCTAACAGCGTTCCAGTCCTTCTCCTGCCACGAAGGGACTGGGTGGGACTTTGCAGGAAATCACTTGAGCTCGCAGCCTCCGTGTCCTCCGAGGAAGAGGACAATGCACATGCCAGCCTCCTCCCCAGGAAGGTTCTAAGCCTAAACCAGGATGTGCCACAGCATCAGGCGGGGGACCCTTTGGTCCTCGGAGACTGAGGCCCTCAGATTTTATTCAGGGACCATATCTTGACTCGCCTCAATTTTATTACCAGGGAGATAATTAAGAAAAGGAAAGAATCCTCTCCTGTCCCCTGATCTTTGGAAAGCTGTGCTTTTAAGGGAGGAGACCATCCACGTGGAGATCAGGTAAGGGCGACACTAGGTGTCCGTGACACTCATTAACATAAACTCCTTGCCTGCTCCCAGGAAACGCCACGACCACCGACGGGGCCCAGCACGTGGGGTTTCTCCCACAAAAGACATCCTGAGGGTCACAAACCTCTTCCCTAAAGTGACTGGACCTGGTTCTGAGAGGTGGTCTCTGAGTTTGACCCTGTGGGAAGAAGGCGTGGGAAGAAAGCGAGTGTGGGCAAAAAGGGTTCCTTCGAAGCCCATCTGCGGACCGCAGCTGGCTCCCCGCCGAGGAGCGCGCGCGGGTCCCTCTGCGCCCCCGCCTCCCGACCCCCCCTCACTCACGATCTCCGCCACGATGAGGAGTCCGGGCGCGGTGCGGAGGAATTCCCGGTCGTAGGCGAAGCTGCTGCTGGTGGTGGAGAAGTTCTCCGCGAAGGAGCTGGAGGTGGTGGTGACGGTATGCGGGCGGGCGCGCTGCGGCTCCTCCATCGTCACGCCTTGGCCGGGCTGGCCCCTCCGCAGGGACCCCCAGCTCGTCGGGGGCTGGACGCGCGGCCCGGAGCCCGGAGGACCCCGGCGAGGGGGAGGGGAGCGCGGCTGGCGCGGGGAAGGAGGCGCGCGGGGGGGTGCCAGCCGCGGCCGGTCCAGAGGCGGCGCGCGTCCTGCGAGTGCGTGGCGCCCCCGCTCCTCGGCGTGCGGGCGCTCCGGCGGCGATGGGGCCCCGGAGCAGGACACCGAGCCAGAGGAGGCCGCCCGGCGGCCGAGGCGGGCGGCGGTGGCCTGGAGGAGGGGAGGGGGCGTGGAGAGGGGCGGGCGCGAGGCGTGCAGCGGAGGGAACGCCCCGCCGAGGCACCGCCGCTGGCCGCCTCTTCACCTGTTGCTGAGGACGGTGCGGCCAAGAGGGCGCCGAGTCGTGCCCAGGGTCGCGGGGCTGCCGCGCGGAAGAGGGGCCGCGGGATCCCGGCCGCCTGCTGCCCCCCTGCCCTCCCTGGCCTCGGGCAGGCTCCGCCTCCCTCTGGCGGGCAGCCACCGCTGACCTGTCTGTCTCCTTGCACCTGACGGCGGCCTAGGCTTCAGGGGCCCCACAGGGACACCGGGGCCTCCATAAATGAGCTCTCTAAGCGGCGACCGGGCCAGGGGGTGGGGTGGCGACTCGAAAGAGCGGCGGGAACTCTGACCCGGCCGGACCTTAGACCCGAGATCGATGCGAGGCCGCCAGGACTGCCCAGGAGGCGGCCCGGGCTTCTCCCCCACCCGCCGCGGCCGCCACCACAGCCCGGCGTTATTTCCTGCCCCTCCTGCCGGGAACAATGTGAGGAACCAACTTAATCGCTGGGCTTTGAAGGCGAGACGCCTCCAGGAGCACACAGTGACTCTCTCGCGACGATCCGTGGAGCCAAACTGACGGCTCCTGGCCCGGAGATGCGGTGGGGGGTAGTGAGGGGCCAATATCGGGGTCCCTGGTCAAGATGCATCAGTGTGACGGTGTCCAGTCACCCTTGGAAAGAAATGTTTGAAAAATAAAAAGCTGGAAAGTATGCGTGTGCAAAGTGCAGTTTATGACATACGGGCTTTACTTTTTGTGTTCCGTATTAGAATATGTGCCTCTGCACTTCAAAATGCAGAGGGCAGGGTCTTTCCTTCTCAAAGAGAGTCCCTGTTTTCCGTGGGGTAAATGCCTCCCAGCGGCAGGGTTTCAGGAAGCACTTAGTGGCTCTGTCGTGGGGATCCTGGAGCCGTGGTGGCAGCCCCTGACCTGGAGATCCTGGAGTCCTATTTAGTAAGCACCTTGTTTTAGTAAGCACCTCAAGTTCCACCTGAGCTCCAACACCAGGGCACTGGCATTTCTCAGCTGTATGGCCGTAAGCACGTGGCCCCACCTCTCTGGGCCTTCCTGGTACCATCCATAAAACACAGGCTTTGAGAGATGGACCTCCCGCCAAAAGGAACATGTTCTGGGTGGTTCCTCCTTCTGTTTTGTGAAAGGATGGCAAGAAACATTTTATTATTTGGAAACCACCAAAAGGAAAGAGAATAATCGTTGGTCACAAGTAGAGAATTGCTTTGCAGTCACAGTGAAAGCATCCCCTCTGGTCGGTTCCAAGAGAGGTTAACGAAGAGGTCAGAAGGGACATTTTATGCAAAAACTACAATCTAAGAAAACAAAGAGTTGGGGTGTTTTTTTTTTTTTTAAGTCAAGGGTCTAGCCCGGACGTCCTCAGGAGTAAAAGTTAAGGCTTCAAAAGCATTGCAAAGATCAAGTCAGGAAAATTCTACCCATGAGCATTTGCTAAGCACTTTGCGCTGGTGGGCAAATAAAACAACGCTCTCCCCTAGAGGAGTAGCTCTCAAAGTGTGGTCCCTAGGAAATTTTCAGAAATGCAAGTTCTCAAGCCCCACTTCAGACCCATTGAGTCAGAAACACTGAGGACAGGGCCCAGGAAGCTGTGTTTGAACAAGCCTTCTAAGAGGCTCTGATACATGCCGAAGTTTGAGAGGTGCTGGTTGAGAGAAGCCAAATACGTAGCTGGGGAGATAAGGGGTACACACATGAAATGGCTGCAGGAGTCTGTGGAATCACTTATGACATTTAGGGAATGCAGGAAGACAGGAAGGAACTCTAGACAACTCTATTTCTGTAATACAAAGGACAATTCCCTCTCAAAAACCCCTCGCAGCCAGCTGGATTTTAAAATTCAGATTTCTTTTATTTTAGAAAGGTAAAATGTGCACATACCCTATACTACCTAACACCCTTGGTAAAGTCTGGAGTGGCCCTTTAATTAAATATACTGATTTTCTGCAATGACAATATTACATGTTGAAATGTAATAAACATTTCTCAAACATTAGTGGTGTAAAATGACAACCATCTTATCTGTTCATGAGGCTGTGGCTCAGGAATTTGGGCAGGGTTTAGCTGGCAGCTCTTCTGCTCCACGTGGTGTTGGTTGGAGTCATTCACTGAGCTGCTTTCAAATGGGCAGGCCTAGAAAATTCAAAAAGGCTTTCCTCACATTCTTTTCAGTCGCATTGTGACACGTCAGGCTCCTCCACCTCGACTTCCTCTATGCACGAAGCTTGGGCTTCCTCACAGCATGGTAGGCTCAGGGGAGTTGTACTTCTGCATGGTAACTGGCTCCCAAGAGGGAACATTCCAAGAGGGGCAAAAGCAGAAGCTGCAGCTCTCTTAACGTCTAGTCTTGAAAGCTATACAGCATCATTTCTGCCACATTCTGTTGGTCAAAACCAGGGACTAGGTCAGCCTAGGTGCACACAGGGGGAATAGAAACTACCACCAGCTGGGAGAAGATGATTGTGGCCCCCTTTTAATTCATGACGTGGGATAAATAAAGGCAACAATAGCTTCATGTCTGTTTAAGTCAGGTGTTTCTACCAAAAAAACTGTCTGCAAACTTGAGAGGAAACTCTTGGTTTTCAGCTTTTCAGATTTCAGAATAACAAAGAAGCTGTAGCACACTGGCTGTTGACAAGCTGTTTGCTCTGTTCCAACTACTGTCTAAGTTCAGGTGCTCATCTTCTGCCTGGAACATTCCCAACTGGTGCCCATTCCTCCAGCGATGTATTTATCCAATCTATCTGCCGTCTTCCTGCAGGAATAATTGTCCTGAAGCCCCAGGCTCAAATCTGGGTTAACATCCCACTCCACACAGCGTAAAAGCCTCTATAAAGTGGTTGAGTCTCTTCCCAGCCCTTTACCCAACCAGTCTAGAATGCTTCCCAGGCCCGCCCCAAATATGTTGTCACATGTTTCTGTAGGTGTAACCACTTTATAACCAACTTTTCTCAATCTATAAAGCCTCCTACCTTCACCCACAGGTCAAATTCTACCTCCTTCAAGGCCCATTTCCAAAGCCACTTTTTCTGTGACTTCCCCTGGATTTCCATAAAGCTCATTCTTTTCTTTAGAACTTGTTAACTTCATGCACCTCTCTATTTCTTGGGAAACTATGAATCACCTTTTTTGAACCCCACCACCACCATTAGGGAGTGCTGAGACCCAAACTTCGTTGTCAAGTGCAAAACAATATTAAAGGAAGAAAAGGTAGACCCTGCCCTCCCATAAAAGGCATCATGCAGAACAGAGCTTTGAGCTGAAACTTATGGGAAGACTCTAACATGCAACGATGGGCGGGCAGGAGGGACAGCACCAAGCTTGCAAGAACAGCCCAAGGGATACCACAAGTGCCAGGATGAGCGGGCCATGTGCAAGTCGGTGCAGAGGAACCTAGTATCTGTTCTCACGGAACGAGGGTGATGTGTGGCCAAAAGCCTTGAGGGTTTATACAGAGTCTGAAAGACGGTTTCCCCAAGGCTGCATCACCCATGAAGCAGAAATGATAACAAAATAGCACTCTGAGGGGGCCGTGGAGCCCAGGTTACTCACCCCGGGTCCAGGGCTCGTGAATATTCAATGAAACAAGTGGACACCTTGGGAATTCCACCTGCTCTCTGAAAAAGAGAAGGTTAAAGGACATTCTCATTTATGAAGTACTGTTCATAGATGAGCCTATCACCATTTCTCTTTATTATTATTCTAGTTTAAAATTAATTATGGTTGTTTCAGGCAAGAAACCTCAGTGGATGTTAGAATTAGTGGGTGAAAGTATGATGGGAAAAAGGATGTCTATCTCATCTCAAAGTATTTCCCCAGAAGATACTGTCTTCCCTTCCTAATTCATAAGTAACTTTGCAGTAGAGAAACTTGTGAGCCACGCCCAGACATCAAAGTCTTCATAGTGCATACCCTCTACTATGATGCATTGAGAAAGGCACATCACATCTGTGGTATTCTTATCAAAATGAATAACCCGAATTTAATCATGAGGAAAGACCAGACAGACCAAAATGAAGGGGCATTTTATTAAGAGCTGTTAAAAAGAAACAACAGACCCTAAATGGAATCGCTCTTGCTAAGCCCCACCAAGACTTCGTTCCTAACTCAAATGCATTTAAGAGTCTCTCCCCAGAGTGGAATTTTAAACCAATCAGTCTGGAATTTCCTGGTCAGCATTGGAGATAATCTGCCTGATAAAACCTCAGGCCTTCTCCTAAAGGAAGGTGGCTCTGCCTGAGATAATCCACTCTTTTAACTTTCCTGTCGCCCCTCTCTTTTGCCCACAAAAACCTTTCATTGTGTACAACTCCTCTAAGCACGCTTCTAATTGCTAGACAAGATGCTGCCTCATTCATTAATCACTTAAGAAACCCAATTAGATTGTCAAATGTACTAAGTGGAATTTTTAGCTTTCAATATTATTTTGTACTAGTTTCAGGTGTACAGCATCGTGGTTAGACAGTCATATGCTTTACAGTGTGTGTCCCTCAGTATTTCCAGTACCCACCCGGCACCAAACATAGTCATTACAGTGTTATTGACTATATTTCCCATGCTGTGCATCCCCATGACTATTTGGTAACTACCAATTTGTACTTCTCAATCTCTTCACCTTTTACCCCCAATCCCCCAACCCCACTCCCCTCTGGAAACCATCAGTCTGCTCTCTGTGTCTGTGAGCCTGTTTCAATTTTGTTTGTTCATCTATTTTATTCTTTAGATTCCACATATAAGTGAAATCATATGGTATTTGTCTTCTTCTGACTGACTTATTTCACTTTGCATAATGTCCTCTAAGTCCATCCATGCTTTTGCAAATACTAAGATTTCATTCTTTTTTATGGCCAAGTAATATTCCATCGTATATATGCACCTCAATTTTTTATCCACTTGTCTGTTTTATTTATTCACTTTTTAGAG